TTCTCTCAAAAAAAAAAAAAAAAAAAAAAAGAATACTACACATGCAGTTGGACTCTTCCTTGGCACAGTTCATTCATATTTTTTGACTCGTCCTATCGGTAGGCCCTCGCTCCACTGCTTTCGATTGGCAAAAATCGTGTTCGTGCATTTTGTTCGATTCATTTTAAAACCACTTAAAAACCATTCAAAAAGGCAAAAATGCTGTCACACATTGTAGGATACTTCGCTAGTGGGACGAGACCCCAGGGTTCATGCCCGGCAGGGCACCCGGGTGTGTATCCGGGCAGTGGGCCACAAGTTGGGCGCCTGGGCATCTGGACAAACAGCGTAGGTTGAAACTCAAAATTTCAAAGAGTTATAAGATAGTTGCAGGTGCAGAATCGTTTCCCAATTTCCAAGCGAGAGGCTTAAAAAAAAAGAAGAGCAGACCCGAGAGGCTTAAAAAAAAAGAAGAGCAGACCTGGGATTGACGATTGGCTAATCAATGAACGTGATCAACAATCATTGGCAATCATCAACAAGAATGCAATTGTTTAATGTCTTCTGAAAACATGTGAAAACTTGGAAAGGAAAAAAAAAAAAAAAAGGGAAATTAATTTGCAGGTTCCACTGCTCGAGAACAAAACAAAAAGAATGAGCCACCAAACCGGCCAGGAAAGTGCGGTACAAGCAGTTTGGTCATGCAGAGCTATACATATGTATAATAGTATATAGTACTATATAGTATATAGTATATACTGTATATTATTATGTTGTCAACTTGTCATATAATAAAAAAAACAAAATTTAAATAATCCAATTAAATCCATAATGATAACCATCTATTTCAAGATTTCTATGGTCCATATGTGGCATATCACTGGGGGCTTAAACCCTCCTCCTCCTCCTCCTCTTCCTTCCCCACATCCCCCTTCTCGTCTACATCTTTGCCTTCTCCACTCCCCCCCCCCCCCCCCCCCCCCCCCCCCCCCCCCCCCCCCCCCCCCCCCCCCCCCCCCCCCCCCCCCCCCCCCCCCCCCCCCCCCCGGCAGTACCCCCTTCCTCCCGGTCACATTCCATCCATCCATCCATCCATCTATCCATGCATTCGTCTACCCATTCGTCTACCCATCGATTTCTCCACATGTCCACCCTCCTCCCCCTCCCCACCCGTCCACCAACCCAGAATTTTTTATACCTCTTTGTCTATACTAATTGTAGTAATTGGTAGATTGTTTATCATTACTACCAATAACAATACGAATAACAAGACAAACGTGAGAAAGGGGTTATCAAATAGGGATAGGACTGTTGTCCGCAAGGGCCGTGCGGGCGTGTGCGTGTGGGGGGGGCGGGGGGAGGGAGGTGCGAGTGTGTGTGTGTACAGTTTGGACAATGCATACATGCAAGACTGTAATACTAATTTAATCAACATATTCTTGGAGATTTTGGACAATGCGTACGTGTACTTTGTGCAAAACATGAAGTTTTAGTACATCAAGTTATAGCCGGATATCTAATATATGTAGACATGCTGAAATGATATTTACATGCACATTGCACACATACATGTGCGATAGATTACATGCACATAAATGTATGTATAAATAATAATATATACATGTGAAACATGTGCGGGCAAATGTATGTATGATAAGCATGTTGCCCTAATGTCACATTTATATTATACAAGTTCTTTGTGCGTTCTCCTATCATAGACGTCACGTACGACATTAGAAGAACAAAACTGACAATACGGTGAACGATGTTGCCCTGAAAATTCACTTTCCTGCAGATCCTGCAGATCATCTCTCTCTCTCTCTCTCTCTCTCTCTCTCTCTCTCTCTCTCTCTCTCTCTCTCTCTCTCTCTCTCTCTCTCTCTCTCTCTCTTCATGGTGACTGCACGTCCATTACAGCTGCAGCTTCTTGCTCATCCACAACCGTCAGCCAACCAGGCAGGCACTGTTGTGTGACGTGACAAGAACCGCCGATTCATCATCATTGACCGCACGTTTGTACGGCTGCAGCTTCTTGCTCGTCGGTGACCATTGGCCAACCAGGCAGGCACCGTTAGTGTGTCCATGTGCTTGCGCAGTTGTCTCTCACAGCCACCATAGCCGTTGTATTTTCTTTCAGCTTCTCTCTTCGGCATGACGAACATCAGCGACTTAGAAGCCATAGCCCCCACATTTCATGACCTTGTCTCGCATTCATGCCCAACATCCTACTCCGCCAACCTCTCTTGAAAAAATATGGGGACCACCACGCTTGACCGATGACCACATTTTTATACCACCACCTCTCTCCTGAAGTCACAACTCAACAACCGTGGTGGTCCCCACATTTTTTCATATGCACTTTCTTTCATTCACAAGGTCAAGTGTGGTGGTGCCCGCATTTTCATGCACACTTTTCTCATTCACAAGGACTAGCATCTGCCTTCTCTTGTTAACTACCGCCACCAAACAATGCCCCTCCATGTTTATACTCCACCTTCTCCCATTCACTACCACCATCATCCGCCGTCAAACAATTACCCATCACGTTCATCATGCACTTTCGCTCTTCCAGTCACTACCACAATCGTCAGCCAGCTCGTAGCCAACCACCTTTCCGTGCAGGTTCTCTCTCTCTCAATCACTACCACGATTGCCAGCCAGCCCTGCTCTTCCTCGCTGCTCTGACAGAGAGTTTCATCACAGCTGCCACTGTTTTGTGAGCTGCACTCCCAATTACCACCCCACCCCGCCCCACCCCACCATCATCCAGCATAGCCACAGGCTGCAAATGGTAATGCATGTCACGAACCCCTCCGTCCACCAGAGCCATAGGTCATAAATAAGAGTGCATCTCGCAAGCCCCTCTAGCCGTAACCATAGGTCGTAAATGCGAGTGCATCTCACAAACGCCACTGGCCATAGCCGTAGGCTGTAAATGTGAGCGCACCTCAGAAACCCCTCAAGCCATAGCCACCACAGGCTGTGAGTGGGAGCGAGTCTCACAAATGCCTCTAACCTATAGGTTGTAAATGGGAGTGCATCTCGCAGACCCCTCCAGCCATAGCCATGGGTCGGAAAGGGAAGCTCATCTCACGAACCCCTCTAGCCATAGCCATAGGTCGTAAATGGGAGCGCATGTCGCAGATCCCTCCAGACATAGCCATAGGTCGGAAAGGCAAGCTCATCTCACGAACCCCTCTAGCCATAGCCATAGGTCATAAAAGGGAGTGCATCTCACAGACCCTCCAGCCATAGCTTCTAGGTTGGAAATGGAGCTAATCTCACAAACCCCTCTAGCCATAGCCATAGGTCGTAAATGGGAGCGCATCTCACAGACCCTTTCAGCCATAGCCATGGGTCGGAGAGGGAAGCTCATCTCACAAACCCCTCTAGCCATAGCCATAGGTCTTAAATGGGAGCGCATGTCACAGACCCCTCCAGACATAGCCATAGGTCACTCATCTCACGAACTCCTCTAGCCATAGCCATAGGTCATAAAAGGGAGTGCATCTCACAGACCCCTAGAGCCATAGCCATAGGTCATAAAGGGGAGTGTATCTCGCAGACCCCTAGTGCCATAGCCAAAGGTCGGAAAGGGGAGTGCATCTCAGAAACCCCTCTAGCCATAGCCATAGGTTGTAAATGGGGGTGCATTTCGCAGACCCCTAGAGCCATAGCCATAGGTTGGAAGGGGGAGTGCGTCTCACAAACCCCTCTAGCCATAGGCATAGGCCGGAAAGGGGAGTGCATCTCACAAAGCCCCTCTAGCCATAGCCATAGGTTGTAAATGGGGGTGCATCTCACAGACCCCTCCAGCCATAGCCATAGGTCGGAAAGGGGAGTGCATCTCACAAACCCCTCTAGCCATAGCCATAGGTTGTAAATGGGGGTGCATCTCACAGCCCCCTAGAGCCATAGCCATAGGTCGGAAAGGGGAGTGCATCTCTCAAACCCCTCTAGCCATAGCCAGGACTTTTAATACGGCAGATGCGCTCGCATACTTTCCTGCAGCTTCTCTGTCACTGTGACTGCTTTGTGAGTGGCTCTCCATTTCTCGTCCCGTCACACCATCTACCATCCTCTCTCTCCCAGGCTGCTGCATTTTCATACACCTCCTCATTCCTCCATAACCGCGATCCTTCACGACCACGATCAGCAATGTAGCTATGTCCAATGTACTTCCCATGCACCTCCTCACTCTCATGTTGGTGACCAGAATTATTTGCCAAGCCATTGCCAGCAGACTTCCCTCTCAGTCACAGCCACCATTACTTGCTCAACCATAGCCATGGCCACACCGCATTCTCTCCACTTCATGGCCACCATAGCCAGCGCATATTCATGAGGCTTCTGTTTCGTTCATGGCCACACCATAGCTAGCGCATCTTCATGAGGCTTATGGTTTCTTTCATGGCTACTATTATGTACAAAGCCATGGCCATCGCCATATCGCGTTCTCTCCGATTCATGAACACCATAGCCATCGCCACACCACGTTCTCTCCGATTCATGGACACCATAGCCATTGCCACAGCGCGTTCTCTCCGATTCATGGACACCATAGCCATCGCCACAGCGCGTTCTCTCCGATTCGTGGGCACCATACCCATCGCCACACCGCGTTCTCTCCGATTCATGGACACCATAGCCATCGTCACCCCACGTTCTCTCCGATTCATGGACACCATAGCCAGCAGATGTTCATGCGAGCTTCTCTTTTGTTCCTAGCCACCATCGCCAGTCCGGCTAAGGCCTCCCCAACACATTCTCTCCACTTCATGGCTGCTCCTTCCTCTGTGTCCAATCACCGAGGCTCCAGTATTGTCACCATAGCTTCCATATCTTCATGTGGATTCTCCCTTGTTCACAACCACACCATTTTCAGCCCTGCCAGTTGGGTCCGCTTGCCGGTGGGTTCAGCACCCATCCTGCCATACCCCCCCCCCCCCCCCCCCCCCCCCCCCCCCCCCGCCACGACCCACGGTTGATGGATGAACCCCTGATTCATCGCCATGCTCCTCTTTTTCTCCTCTTCTTGATTGATACTTGTGTCAATGCTTGCTGCACTCCAATTCTTCTCACTCTCTCTGCTCGCACCGTGTTTCCATTGCAACCACGTTTTCACGCAGCTTCTCATTCTCCACCATCAGCCTAGCTAGCTGGGCCTGCACGCATGCATCCGGACACACACGCAGGGCAGGGGCGGGAAAGGAACGGAAGGAAGAAATGGATTGCACGAGCGCATGGAGGGGTGGTCAGGAATGACATCCGACAGGCAACGAGAAGCATAAGCGTTTGCTGAAGACTCATGAATAGTACATTGTGCAATTGATGGCGCGCTGCTTTTTCACTGTCAAGTTGTGTGGCTAGATCTGCATGTCAATAGTAGGCTATTCTTACTTCCCATGTTTGTTATGAAGTCTTCTCCAGGAAAAGTTGGAAAACAGAAAAAGTTGGAGGATGAGGTGGTCCTTCCCCCCCACCACCACCTTTTTCGAGGGCGGGAAAACAACTTTGAGTCTATTAAAGGTTCATTGGACACTGTTGTTCATTTACACCACAAAGAATTACAAACAATGAGAAAATTTAGAAAACTGAGAAAACTGAGAAATTGAGCACAAACAAGCAAGGCAGAGTGGACTTTGCTTGGGCGCGAGACAACCTTTCTTTGAATTAAAAAAGAGAAACTGGAGCAAAAGAGCGAGACAAACTGTAGATAGTTTAAATTTTAAAGTTTAAAGTTTAAACTTACAAAAAAAAAAAAAAAAAAACAATCCAGATTTGAAACCGTTGTAAGTTGTAACCAACTTGTGAGCCCGGGAAAAAGAAGCAAAAACTTCAGAAAAGAAAAAATAAAAAAACTTAAAAAAGCAAGAACGGGAGGAAGAGCGCAGCAGGCTCCCAGTGATTTCACTTTTTTTCTTTGTGTTTCATCTTTCCTTCTTTGCTTCCCAGATCTGTCACCATAATGTCGTGAGGGCGGTGCGAGAGCCAGCTCGAAATATGCATGCGTGGGCAAAAATATCTTACCTGATCTTCATAGATGTACCAACGGCTCACCTATATATACATATAGAGTTTTCCATCTGGTGTGGGTGAGTGATAGTCTGCTTTGATTTTCGTCACAGGTACCTTGAGGGCAGTGGTTGGTTCGGGCAGTCGTTGATGCTTGACCACATCTGGGGTTAAGGTGGATTATCACGTACAGTGTAATCAGTTAGGGGATTCTGCAGACTGTTAGGGTTCAGCCTCCTGATGAGTTGGTGAAACTCCGACGAAAGAGTTTGTCACAGCCCCTCGTTTGTTGTCCTCTTCTCCCTCTCTGCCTACGGTTTACCGTCGGCAGCTCTGTTTGACGATATCTAATCTATATCTATATATATATATATATGTTATATATGTAATCTCTTTTATGTCGAAGATCATTCCTCTGTCCCCATGCTGCAGCAGGACAATGTACCAACACTCTGCGACCTTCTCTTTTGCACAGCTACAGACACTGTTACACTCGGCTGTAGCCGCCATCGTCTCTTTCACAATGACTACAATGACATGGTTTCTGCATCTATGTGTGTAGAGGAATGTCCCTCCGTTCCTGACTGCAGGCACCCTCCTCATCGGGACACTATATGTCCATTTTGCGGCCATGGGCGCTATACTGAATGCATGGTCTTTTGTGATGAGCGCTCTTCCTTCATTTTGGCCTGCAATCGACATGCCATTTGTCGGGGGTGTATGTTGGGCATGTTCAGTGCCAGCCGTTGTGGCAATTGTTGTGCTGAGGATGCTCAGCTAGGTCTTCCATGTGCCCATCCACCTCACCCTTACAATGTGTGTCCTCTCTCTCGTCAAGGACATACTCATTCTTGAGCCTTTTCTTATCCTTACTTTCGCTTTTTCGTTCTTTGTTTGTCTTCTCTTCATCTCTCTTCCCTGTGTTTATCACCTCCCCCTTTACTCTGCCTCTTTCTCAGCGTTCAAGTGGGCCGTTATGGCACACAGGGATGCGCGCAGCTCGCTCTCAACTTCATCAACGTGGTGAGCCTTGTACATGAGAGGCACACTGAAGGGGGAGTTAAAATAAGAATGAGCAAAATGAATGGGTTTCAGTGTGCCCCTCGTCTTTGTCTTGTTTGTTAATCTTTACCGTTTGTTTCGCAAAGTGCGCTCTTTTAGTTCATAGTTATGTGACAATAAATATTGATGATATATATCACCAAACAAAGATGATAGGATGGTAGGATGGCAGGATGGTGAGATGGTAGGATGGTAAGATGGTACGATGGTTGGATGGTAAGATGGTAAGATGGAAACATGGTGACATGGTAGGATGGCAGGATGGTAGGATGGCAAGAGTGGTCGGATGGCAAGATGGCAGGATGGCAGGATGGTAGGATAGTAGGATGGTAGGATGGTAGGATGGCAGATGGTAGGATGGTAGGATGGCAGGATACTGCATATATATATATATATATATATATATATGAGTCGGTGAAACTCCGACGAAACAGTTTGTCACAGCCCCTCGTTTGTTGTCCTCTTCTCCCTCTCTGCCTACGGTTTACCGGGCAGTTCTATTTGACGATATATATA